GGGGGGGGGGGGGGGGGTAGAAAATGTTTGAAGAAATAATGGCTGTAAAATTCACATTTGATGGAAACATAAAACAGATCCATGAAGATCAACAAATTCAACATAGAAACATGGAGAAAATTACATGAAGGCACATTATCATCAAATTTCTTCACATCAGTGAAAAAGAAAAATCCTAAAAGCAGCCAGAGAAAAAGATACTTCATGTTTGAAGGAACAAAGGCGAGGACAGACACAGACTTCGCGCTGGAAGCTGCGCAGGCGGTGGGACCCTGGGGATTTAGTTTCGAAAAAGAGAAACTACCAACCTAGAAATCTATACTCAGTGAAAATACCTTTCAAAACTAAAGATTTCCAACATACAAAAATTTGTGAAAGAATTACAAGGAATGTCAAAAGAAGCTTTTCAGGCAGGAAAATGTTACCAGATGGAAACTGTGTCTATGCAAAGGTTTGAAGGGAGGTGAGCGCATTTGAGAGACAAGGAATCGAGGCTGCAGGGCTCCTGGCTCCCACCCATTCTGCCTCTCACTTGTCCACCCCAGGCGCCTGGGGGGCCAGCCCACCCCATGGTCGCTGGGCAGCAGGCGATTCCTCGCCGAAAGCAGTCCCATCAGGTGTCACCAGGTGGCGCCAGCAGCACGTCCCAGCAGCTCCTTGGGCTCAGAGCTGGTTCCTGTCGCTCATGGGTGACCCTGCCTTGAGCAGCCTCTCCTCCAGCTCTGTACCAGACTTGCCATGTGACCTCAGACAGGCCACTCTCGGGGCCTGGTTGTGGCCCAGGTCATGACCTTAGCCCCAGCTCTGGGCCGGGCTGTGTCCAAATCCTTCCTGGACATCAGGGTCCCATTCGCTGCTCTGCCCAGACCAACAGCAGCTGATGTTGGGCACAGTCGGGCAGAGTCGGGGAAGAAGAGGGTCGGATCCCAAGGGGACAGGGGCAGCCAAGGCATCCATCTCTCCTCTCAGGCAAGTCCTGCCAGAGCTGAGGGAGGAACACCTTCCCCTGGAAGCCACCCCTGAAGCCTCCAGACAGGGCTGTCCCTGGGCACAGGCCTGGTGGACTCCCACATGACCCAGACCCGTCAGGGGCATTGCTCTGAGAAGGGGCCCCGTGAGTGGGGCCAGCCTCCCACACTGGTGTCTGGCAACACCTCCTTCCCCTGCCACCCAGCAAAGCACAAGCCACAAACTTGAAAAGCAGGTTTTATTGAAGAATTTGGAGGGAAAGTTCCATATTATAGTAGTAAAAATACTCAAGTTGGACGTTGTAAAAAACACCATGGTGCAGCAGCAGCGGCAGCGTCTGGCCGGGAGGGCGTGGAGGGGCAGGTGGCAGCCTCCCCTCCAAAAGGGCTCTGGGGGTGCATACAGCCGGGAAAGGAAAGCATCTAAAAGAACAAGTGCTATCATGGAGAAGTCATCAGAGGTGGATGCGCTTGGTGGGACAGCCACCAAGAACAGTGACACAGGAGGGGGAAAGGAGGGGAGGGAGGGGGCTTTCCTGTCTCTAAGATTAAACCCCCCAAAATGCCTTTGAACAGCATAATACACAGCAACAAATTTAAACCTGTTTCTCTGGGCAACTGGGCAAACCCCGGCCCAGGCCCCACCCCTAGTCCTATCTCAGGGGTGCCACCTCTGAGGATGTCCTCAGAGGCCCAGCCTTAGTGCGGGGGGCAGGCATGTGCCCCACCCTGAGGGAGAGGGTGCCAGCCAGCATGCCACAATGAGGTTGCTTCTGGTGACCCCAGCTGGGCCAAGGCACTGGACCCTAGAAGAGGCGACAGCCAGGGCGGTGGTGAGGGGCTGATGAAGGGGACCGCAGCAGGACCTGCCCGGACCCCACATTGCACATGGCTGCAGAAATCCTTAACGTTTTTCTACATGAACCTAATTGTTCTGAGGGCCGAGGCCACATCTGGAGAACAGACTGGATGAAATAAATTAAGAAAAACCACCCAACAATTTTCTCCCTGATCCGGCTGGCAGGGAGGCCACTGCCTACAGCACGAGGTGCCTTGCCATCCGTGCTCAGGAGGAAGCACGTGGGTCCTCTCCAGTGCACCCGAGAAATAAAAACCACTAAATGCAGACCATTGTGCGGGGCTCCCTCTCTGTCCACTGAAGCCGTGGTCTGGAGCATGTGGCTGCCTGTGGCCAGCTGGCCCCTCCTCAGGCCGTGCCGCTGGCCGAGTAGGAAAACTGGGGGAAATGGGGTCTCCGCTCGCTGTCCACACACTCCATGCTGTCGTCTGTGGGCAAGAGGCAGCTCAGACCCCAGCACCCGCCTCTCCTGGCACCATCACCTGCCCCTGGCTCCAGAAGGGAGAGCTGGGCCTCCAGATGCACAGCCAACCCACTGCCACCCAGCCAGGGAAACTAAGGCAGGGCCCCCCATCTGGACGCAGTGACCCCAGCCCTAAGATGCTGGGGGGAGCATCCCTCTCCACCCTGTTAATTACCACCCTCCAAAAGAAACTCTTTTGGCAAAAATGGATTTTCAAATATCTGAAGCCAATGAAAGGTGAACACTGTGGGCCTCCCTGCCAAGGGCAGTCACTAAGTCCTCCCTGTCTGCTGAGAAGAGAGTGGTCCCATCACCTTGGTCGGGTGGTGTGATGGTGATCATCTGGGCCGTAAACTCCTCATCAAAATACCTGGTGTCAGTCTCTGAAGTGACCTGGGGCTTGAAGGGCGGGCTGAGCTGCAGAGGGGCAGGAAGAGGGGTGGCTGCGGGCCTCACTCTGCACTCCCGAGCCCACCCCAGCCCAGTAAGTGCCAGACACCCACTGTGCCCGAAATCCCCAAGGGGCTGTCTCCAGGCAGTACTGATGCCCCCAGGCAGGGCTCTGGGAAGTGGGAGGTGCAGGGGTGGGGCAGCAGTCTGGGGTGGGCTGATGGTGGGAGCTCCATGGGATAGCAGTGCAGAGGTGCAGAGCTGTACTCACAGCAGCCCCTGCAGGTGGTGAAAGGTAGTACAGCCCAGCTCTGCAAGACCCTCCCTGCCCCCAGGAGGAAGGAGCCAAGTCCACTTTTCTAGTTTTTCTTTCTAGTTTTCTTATTTTTCTCACTGGCTTTCTTATAAATTGGGAAGGGGAGGACAAAGAGGGCAAGTGTGGAACAGGTGTACAGGGTGAGTCCACCCTGCCTCATCCTGGGCTGAAGGACCACACACAGAGCTGCCTGGCCAGGGATCAGGCTGCAGAGAGGACTTGAGACACCCCAGGACTCAAGGGTAACTGTAAAGTGATGTGCACACATAAGGAGCCACCAGGCAGCTCCCGGGTCCCACAGGTAAGGACTTCTTCAAACACCACCCCAGAGTCTGGTCCCTTGAACTAGCAGAGTCAAGGCTGGGCAGCAATTGAGCACTGCCCAAGCCCTGCCACTCTCGGAGGGCAGGAACCTGGACCACAGCCAGGGTACCCTAGGTCAAAGGGAGGAGAGGCCCAGCCAGGTCCTGGGGCTGCTCACTCCAGCCTGGCTGGGACCAGGGGCTCCTGGGGTCACTTGGAAGATGAAAGGCCATGTGAGCACCCCACGGTAGGGACATGTGCAGGAAGGAGCCTCCCCTCGAGGGGGCCTCCCAAATGTGCTAAGAAAGCAGGTACTATCCCCTTTCCCTGCACACCCATAGAGTAGAACTGGGCTCTCCTTGTAGCAGGAGGAATTGAGGTCAGACAGTTGGAGAAACTGGGAGAACAGGGGCGAGCACCCCTACTTCACCCCCAACCAGCCTTCACCGTGCAGCGTCAGGAAGGGCCCATGGAGCTGGCACCTGGTGCAGTATGGGGAGATGGGGAGTCTGTGGGGACACAGCTGGGGGTCAGGGAGGCCCCAGGACAGCTTTCAGGAGGAAACCCAGCACTGCTGACCCTCTGAACGCCGGGAGGGGCACAGCAAGGCCCTCCTTGTACTTGGGGCTGTGGCAGACTCCTGGGCGAGGGTGTGCGAGGGCAAGCGTGCTCCTCCAGCTGTGAGTGTGGGTGTGCTGGTGAGTGCAAGCGCCTGGATGGGTGTTCGAGTGAGCAGAACTGTAACTGTGTGAGGGGTGTGAGACCCAGGCAAGGGGAGGTGTGTGGGGCGCCTGCAGGGGTGGGGGCTGTGGCAGCCACGCACCTTCTTCTCGTACACGTCCTGCCACACGATGCTGGCAAAGAAGCCATGCTGCATGATCTCCTTCGCGTCCTCGGAGCCCCCGCCGAGCCTGGGGCCAGAAACAGAGGCCACGGTAATGGCACTGCCACCCACCCGGGCCCAGGGGCTCAGGCCCCATCTTCCCCTGTGTGACATAGGGCCACTGGATAGGGTGTCCTGGGGCAGTGGGGGACATGGGGCAGCCCCTCTGAGCAGCTGTGGGCAGCACAGCACCCAAGGGCCACAGCAGGGTAGGGGCCTCCCTGAACAGGTGCACAGGGGCTACAGGGCCAGGACTCAGGCCAGCCTTAGCCTGCTGGGCCACTGTGCTTGGACCTGGAGATGCAGCTTTGGGGACAAACCCTGACCAAGGGCAGTGAGCACTAGCCACCAGCATGGCCTGCAGGCTGCCCAGACTGTCTGCACAGGGGCAGCTGCGACTGGGCATGACCTCACCTCTGCTTGGGGTCCTTCTTGAGCAGCCCTGAGAGCAGGGACTTGGCCTCAGGGCCGAGCGTGCGGGGGAAGCGGATCTCCTCCATGAGGATGAGCTCGAAGAGCTTCTCGTGGTCCTGGTTGTAGAAGGGCAGACGGCCGCACATCATCTCGTACATGACCACGCCCAGCCCCCACCAGTCCACTGCCCGGCCGTAGTCGTTGTCCTCCAGCACCTGGATGGTGGCAGGCGACAGGATGCGGTGGCACAGTGTGCCCAGGACAAGATTGGGGGGCATGGGGGCAGGACACAGCATCACAGCATGCCCTGGACACATTCCCAGGACATGAGGGGAGGCAGGCGGGACACAGCATCACGAGGTGCCCAGGACAAGCGGGGGAGCGTGGGGGCAGGACTTGGGGCAGGGGGAGAGGCTCGGGCAGTGTACCTCAGGGGCCAAGTACTCAGGCGTCCCGCAGAAGGTCTTCATGGTGGCACCATCCTTGATGCCCTCCTTGCACAGCCCGAAGTCCGTGATCTTGATGTGCCCGTCCTTGTCCAGCATTAGGTTTTCCAGCTGTGCAGGAAGGTGGCCTTGGGTCAGGAGGTTGCCAGCCCCGCCCCTGCCGGCCCCGCCCCCCACCGGCCCGCAGCGCACCTTGAGGTCCCGGTACACCACGTTCTTCTCGGAGTGCAGGTAGTCCAGGGCCGACACGATCTCAGCGCCATAGAAGCGGGCCCGGTCCTCGGAGAACACACGCTCCCGGGACAGGTGGAAGAAGAGCTGCGGGAGGGAGAACCTGAGGCACAGCAGCAAGGGACGGTCCTCCCTGCCCCGTTACCTGCAGGGGCTTCTCCATCAGGGTCTCAGGGCAGAGGGCACAGAAGGGACCAGCCCCCAGAGGGCATGGGGGCCTAGAAGGTCCTAGAGACCTTAACTTGGGGGGGGGACAGGTTATCCCCAGAGAGGGCAGCTACCCACTGCAGGCATCCCACCACCTGTGAGGACAGCACCATCCTGTGCTGCAAAGGGGCATCTGGGAGGGACGGACTGCAGGAGCTCAGCCACCACCCTGCCCACTGCCAGCCTCCTACCTCGCCCCCGTTGGCATACTCCATGACGAAACAGAGGCGGTCGTGGGTCTGGAAGGAGTACTTCAGGGCCTGTAACAGAAGCAGAGCTGGATCACGGCCCCCGAAGTGGGCAGGAGTGCAGGCCAGGCCCCAGGCAGCCCCCGAGGAACATTTTAAAGATAAGCAATGTGGAGTGGTGTTCAGGCCTCTGGGGATGAGTTAGGGTCTCAGAAGCTGGCAGCACAAAATTGGATGGGCAGTCAAGCAACAGCTCAGAGTGTCCGACCCTGATGCCTTGGCAAGGGGAGCACACGTCCTCCTGGGCACAGCTCCTGGGCTGCCTCCATCCCAAAGGCCATGCGGACTCACTTTAAAAGGAAAAGCCCCACCAGTGGCAGACTCAACCCCAAAATTAATCAAGCCACTACAGCTGAGCCCCATTCACAGCAAATACCTCCTGGGCTGACCTCCCAAGTACAGGAACCCACCCTGGCACAATCACCTCCTGGGCCAAGTCCCCAGAGGATGGAGATCCACCCAGACACAATCACCTCCTGGGCCCAGTCCCTCAGGACAGGGACACACCCAGCACAATCACCTCCTGGGCCAAGTCCCTCAGGACAGGGACACACCCAGCAAAATCACCTCTAGGATCCACCCAGGAACATATACCTCCTGGGCCAAGTCCCTCAGGACAATGACCCACCCAGACACAATCACCTCCTGAGCCAAGTCTCCTGAGAAGGAAGACCCATGTGGCCTGAGCCTCAGCAGAGGCTTCCTCACCACAGGCTTCCGTCCTGGAAGACTGGTCTGCAGGGGGTAGGGTGTGGGGAGCTCGGGGCTTCCCATGGCCTGGGCAGAGGTTGCAAGGCCAAGGTCCCCTGCCCCGCCCACCCTGCACACTGGGGTGCAAGTGCTCAGCCCCAGCCCCACATCAGGCACCTCCACACCCTGACCCTCCACAGGGGGCCCATCCCAGCACCTAGTCAGAGCACATAAAGCCCTCATGTGGCCCGGGAGGCCAGGTCATTGTCCTTCAGACAGCCCCTCGGTGCCTAGAAGGGTCCCATGCAGGACAGGGCTCCGCACTCACCGTGAGGAAGGGGTGCCTGGAGTTCTGGAGGACGCGGTTCTCAGTGAGCGTGTGGGCCACCTCGTCCTGTAAGGCAGGGCCGGTGAGCCACCACCCCGCCCCGTCCCCACCCACCATCCCAGCCCCCGTCCCCCCCACACCTTAGCCACGATGACTTCCTTCTTCAGGATCTTCATGGCATAGTAGCGGCCTGTGGCCTTCTCCTTCACCAAGATCACCTTCCCAAAGGTGCCCTTGCCCAGCAGTTTCAGGTACTCAAACTCATTCATGGTCTGAGGGGCAGCAGGCAGGCACCAGGGTCACCCACCGTCTGCCCTAGGCTCTCAGAAGTACCCCCCACCCGAAGGCACATCTGCGCACTGCGGCCTCCAGCTGGACAGCACATGCAGGCAGTGTGAGGGCCGCTGGAGTCTCCACACAGCAGACTTGGGGGCTGGGGGCTGGGCACAGGGCAGGGGCCCCCTCACACCTGCAGGCCTGCTGGGGTCAGGGGGAGTCCGTGGCTCACAGAAGAACATGGAGCCACATGCCCCAGCTTGGAGCACCGGGGTCTGGGGTACAGTGGACTAACACCACTGGGCTTTCTGGATCCCAGAGTCCCTGCTTCACTTTTGACACAGAAAAGGGGACCTGGAGGGGAGCCAGCGCCCACTGTGAAGCCCGCTGGGACCCCGTGACCCACCAGGCCCCTCCGCAGCCGGGCGGCCCCAGCAGAGGCAGAGGTGGGGGGCCGGGCCTCACCACGCGGTGCTTGGGCTTGGCCAGGGACACCTCCATCTCCTCGGGCCCAGAGTTGTCACTGGGCGAGCCCGACCGGAAGTCCATCATCTCCTCCTCCTGCTTCTTGAGTCCATCAGCCACTGTCTGGATGGCAGTGGTCCACTCCTCCCTGTAGGGCGGTCAGGTGAGGCCCCCGTGCACCCACAGGAGCTCCACCCCATGCTGTCCCCACCTGCTCGGGTTCAGAGGTGGCTGTCGGAGTCCCCAGAGAGAGCCCTGAGAGGCCGCCCACACACTCAGGGTCAAAAACCCTTCTGTATGCTGGGGACACCGAGGCCCAAACTCCCAGCAGGATTGCGCCCCCTCCTCACCCTGATTTCACCTCCAGCCTCAGTTTCCCCACCCAAACCCCACAGGCAGGACTGTTTCCACAGTGTGCTTTGGGGAGGGCTTGGGAGCACGGGGGAGTGAGCAGTGAGCAGAGGCCTCCCCGCCCTGCATACCGCTCCTCGGGTGTCTCCACATGGAAGGTGCGCTCGATGACTGTGGTCCACTGCAGGCAGCGGATGATGAAGGTGTTGGGCCGGGGCCGCTCTGTCTTCATCAGCTGGCATTCTGGGGGCGGGGCCAGGTGAGCATCTTCTGTGCTAGCCCACTGCCCCTCTCCAGGACCCTTCCCACAGCCCTGGCCACACCGGTCTTCTTTCCTGGACTCTACCCACCAGGCACAGGATGCCTCATCCCATAACCTCTCCAAGCCTCAGTTTCCCTCCTCTGAAAATGGTGGTAGGATCCCCATTGCAGCTCCATGTTCTGCTCTATAGGTATGAGGCACCCCCAAGAGAGTGTATGGGGCTGGGTCAGCTCTCTCCACACCATTAGGTCCTCCCTTCCTGCAGTCTCTGAGCCCCCACCATGTGCCATGCCTTGGATGGGGAGGAGTATGGAGGTCCCAGGGAGGGACCAGCAGCCACAAGGGAGCCCTGGAAAGCAGTTCGTCCCACCTTGTGCAGGAATATCCTGCTATTTTCCCAACCACATCTGGAGCACCTGGAGAATGAGCACACCTGAATCACACGCACACCTGGAGAATGAGCACACCTGAATCACACGCACACCTGGAGCACATCCACACCTGGAACACACCCACACCTAGAACACGTCCACACCTGGAGGATGCCCAGACCTGGAGCACGCACACACCTGGAGCACGTGCACACCAGGAGCATGCCCAGACCTGGTGCACGTGCACACCTGGAGCACACGCACCTGCAGCACACGCATCTGGAGCACACATACCTGCAACTGAAGGACCATGGGGACGTGCCAGGCCCTGAGAGGGGTGTGCATGAGTGGAGTGGGCAGCTGTGAGGCCCTCTCCAGGACTCTGGCCCCGCCTGTGTGAGGCAGGAGGGGGCTGGGGGCCCAGCAGAGGGGCCTCTGACATTCCAGTGTCTGGGCCCTGGCAACGGCAAGGGGCCCCAGCCGACCTGGCTTGGCTGAGCAGAGGGAACCCGGGGGCCGGGAGGGGCGTGGGGCCCAGCCTTGTGGAGAAGGCAGCCTGTGTCAACACGGGGCAGGGGAGGGCAGAAACTCGCGCTGGCCTTTTCATCCCCAGCACACCAGCCTCCCACTTGCTCCTGGAGAGCCTGTCAGAGGACACCAGATGCAACAGTGTCCTCAGGGTGGTGGTCTCATCCCCCACAGCCCCAGAACATATCCCCAAAGAAAAGCCCAGGGACACAGAGACCACAGCACAGCTGCCCCTCCTGCCCCAGCTCTGCTCCAGGCCATCCATCTCCTGCAGCTGCTGGCCCTGTTTGAAGGCTCCAGCCCTGACCCCACACCCTCTGGCTGGTGCCCACCCCCGTGTGCGTCCTCAGAAGAGCCCCCTCCATCCTGCTCACTGCACTCAGCCTGTGGAGCCCTCCTGAAGTGCCTCCTCCACCCTCAGCAAGGCCCTGTCTTGGAGTGCTACTGCGCATGTGGGGGGGCACCCAGCTCCTCCCTGAGCCCTGAAGCCCCCAGCCCCAACCGAGGAGGCACTGGGGAGAGCCTAGGACAAGCCACAGTGAGTCCTGCATGGCCACGAGGCTGCCTTGGTCTCCTCACACCCTAAAGGGGGAATTCAGGGCCCACAGGAACTGGTCCTGGTAACCCCCTCTCCCCCTGAAGCCACTTAGCCTGGGGCCTTGCAGGGCAGGGCCTCTGCTCCTATGACTGGAAGCCCTCAGGGCAGGGTTTGCTGGCCAGGCTCCCTCCCCTGCAGCACAGGGCGAGATACACTGGGGTGGGGGACCGGGCAGCCAGGCTGCCAGCCCAACCCCACCTGTCTACACCTGCAGGTACTGAGGCCAGGAGTCTTCCACATCTAGTCTGGGACAGGCCACCTGTGCTAAACATCTTCCGAGACCCTGGAGCAGAACCTGGGGGACCAGTGAGGATGGGGAGTTGGAGCTCCCTGGGGCCCCAGGCTGTAAGGCAGGGAGCGCAAAGCTAACTGGAGTGCAGGGAGCTAAGACGGAGGTGCTAGGGGTGGACCCAGGACACAACAGTGGGCACCATGTTCTGCACCCAGACGACAGCCCGAGACAGGTCCCAGAGGCCCATGGTTAACAAGCTCCATCACTCACAGATGTCCTACAGTCCAACCCTAATTAGCCGCTCAGTCCTACACGCAGCCTGGCCTGCGTCCTTGGCCAGTCCCAGGCAGTGGCACGGGGAACAGGACCAGGCTAGGAGGGCTGCCTGCCGCCAGCATCCCACCCACCAGCCCACACGGGTGGGGTCACACACCGTCCCCTCACAGGTAGGAAAAAAAGCCACCATGTCGCACAGGAAAGTGCCACGTCTCATTTCACTTTGCAGGATGCCCCAGGCCAGCGTCATCAGCCAGCCCCACCACACTCACCCATCCCACGAGCGTGGCGGACCACCCCTCACCCTGCACCCCAGCTGAGGGGGAGGCAGAGGCACCATGCCAGGGTCCTCAGAACCTCACAGGAGAACCGCAGGCTCTTCCTGGGGGTGGCAGAGGTTCCAGGAGCTGGCTGACCCCCACCCGGGGCTGCCCAGTGAGAGACCCTGGCTGGCTACAGCTGGCCCTGCTCAGCCATCCCCCTTGAGGTTGGGCTCTGTCACCCATTGGTCAGACCCCCCAGCCTGTAGAGCAAGAGCACCAGGGAACAGCTTGAGGCTCGGCCAGCCTTGGGACTCAGCCCCAAGACCCCCACCAGCCAGAGCTGGCCCCTAACTGGCCCCAGAGGGGGTGATGTGGGAGCCAGCACTGCCCAGGACACGGAGGATGCAAGGGGGACCTCAGTGTGGGGCCTGGTGGGCACAGAGGGCTCCAGCCTCCCCATTCCCCCTCCCCCCCAATTCCAACCCAGGGTGGCCGAGGGGACTCTTACGTGCCACGGAGAAGTTGTTGAGCGGGGACTCACGCTGGTCCACGTCCTGGGGCCGCTCCTTGTAGCCGATGAAGGTGCCGTCGTTCTTGAGGAGGAAGTAGCGGGGCCGCCAGGTTTTGATGTACTCCCCTGCGGGTGCACAGGCAGTGAGCGCATGCGGCCAGCACCCTCCCCTCCCACAAGCCCCGTCCCAGTGGCCAATAGGCAGCTGGCTGTGCCAGGAAAGACAGATGTGCCCAGGAGGCAGGAGTCCCAGTGGGTGAGCAGGGGTGTGGACAGTCTCCTGAAGGCCAGCAAGGGAGCTGGCCCCAGTTCACTGGGAAGGCAGTTGTGTCTGGAAGGGGGCCAGGGGCACTGGGATGCAGAGGAAGGGGCACAACCGACAGGAGGCTGGGCAGGGGTCTGGGCGAATCTGCACGGCCTTCCTGGAGGAGGTGGCGCCCAGCCAGCCAGTCCCCAGCAGGCACCAGCTAGCTCAGGCACTAGCTACGGCTGCCGGGGCTTCAAGGCCAAGAGCTCCTCCTGAGCTTCCAGGATCCAGCCAGGTGGTGGCTGCAGGTGACGACGACATGTGTAGGCTGCCCTTCACAGCTGGCCTCTGGCTGAGAGGATGGAACTGGTGTCCAGCAATAGGGGCTCGGCAGCACACTCAGAGTGAGACGCACAGGCTAACCCAGCGGACACCGGCCTATCTTCAGCGTGCCGGGGCTGGGTGCTCAGGACAGAGCCACCCCACCCGCTGTGAGACAGCACTACCTGCCCCGAGGCCCAGGGCACCGTCCTGGACAGCGCCTGTGAAACCAGGCCCAGGAAGCAGCCTGGCAGCTGGACCGGGGCTCCGAGGCACTGGGAGCGTGTGGTCCCTGGGCTGAGACCTGCTGCCATGGCCCTGCCACGCCCCACCCACGGGTTACCCAGGTACATGGGAATATTTTCCCCGTTTTGCAACATCAGCCGTAAACAGACACTCACACTTAAGGATGAGAGCAGATGTCCTCTGCGATATCTGAGCGGCTGTCATTTTTCATACTGACACCCGGAAAAAAATGTTTCATTTACATTTTGCCGAGCAAGGAGTTTGAACAACAGGGAACTTACTAATTAGGCAACTGCTTCATCTGAGGGGCCGCTAGGCAGAGAGTGGGGAGGGGGCCAGGATAAGGGGCTGGGGTCCCCCGGCTCTGGGGCTGTGTTTTCCTGCCACAGCTGGAGGACATGGGAGACAGGCAAAGGCCCCATCGCTGGACCACCCACCACTCGGTCCTGCTCAGTCCCCTTGGTGTGGCCCAGATGACCACAGCCCTCCCAGCACACAGTCAATCTCAGGGGGCCAGGAGTCCCAGGAGAGCTCAGAGGACATGGGTCCTTAGGGACTGCAGCAGGCAAGGCCTCCTATCTTCCAGGGAGCCACCAGCCAGGTGGGGGAGGGTGGCAGCTGGCCGTCCCCTCTTCCTGCAATCCCTGTGTGCCTGGCCCTCAACACTCTCCACCCTCAGAACCTCTCTGCAGGGTAACCTGCCCTGCTCCTCGATGGGGACAGAGGTTCTTGGACCAAAAGTCCTGGGCTGGGGTGAGAGAGTCCACCCAGCCACCTCTACCTGCGCCACAAGCCCACACCCCCTCAAGACTCTCAGGGATCCCGGGCTCCACCCACCTCACCAACCCCATGGGAGCTAGGGTAGGGCAGCAGCGTCTCCGCAGAACCAGGTGGGAGGCCTGGCTTTACTGTAAAAGGCATGCCACCAGGGCTGGACAAACGACTACCTCCTGGCCTGCTGGCCTCCCCCGTCCTCCCCTAGCCCCCACTGCCCAGACCCCTTCTGACCAAGTACCTCTGGATATGGCCTACACAGGGCGCCCCACTCCACATGCCCCAGGGCCACTGTGGAGGTGCTGGAGCACCCACCCAGCAGGGCCTGAGTGGCAGGGACCTGGAGTGGCGGGGGAAGGGGGTAGCGAGTGCCCAGCCTCAGGCCATGACCCCAGCTCCAGGCAGGCCCAGACCCCAGCACTGACACAGACCCCGCCCGCAAGGAACCTGAGCACTGCTCAGGGGAATGGGGCTGGCTAAGCAGGAAGGCACCGCCCTCCATGACACTGTGGGACATTCCACCAAACATGGGACAGACGAGATTCTGCTATCCCTCCTCACCGGTCTACTTTTCACAGACAGTCACCAGGGCACGTGAAGACCCAGCCCACACCCTGGCCTTTCCGCGGTGGCCTAGAAATCTGCCCTCACCCCCAAGAGCATTTCACAAAGTCTACACCTAGTTCTGCTGAGTCCTCTGAACCCCTATGCAGTCTGCTGAACAGGGGTGGCCACCCTGGGATGCCGCTCCTGCCCCAGCTTGGGGGTCGGTCACACACACACACACACACACGTGCACACACACGCGCACCCCTCCCCCACGGGTGCAGCAGGCAGGTGGGTGGGGTCTCGTGAGAGGGAGCAGGGCAGGCTCAGGGGGGCTGCATGTGGCCTGCCTCCATCCCCATCCCTGTCCCCGTCCTGTCCCCCATCCCAGGCCACCCCGCCACTCGTGCCCACCCGCCTGCGCACCAGTCTGGAGCTGTCGGCCCCTGATGGAGTGCCTCCCATTCCACCAGCTGCCGCTCCCCAGGACGCTAACTGAGCGGGGAGACTGATGAGCACCCTCCGCACACCCCGGAAATCCATCTTGATCCGCCAACTGCCGCTGGCCCCCACCGCGCCCAGCGAGGCCGCCTGGCACTGCGCCGCGCACACACACTCGGCCCACTCCGACCCCGGCCCTGACCCCTGCACTGTCTCCTACCAGAGCCTGCCTGTGCTCACACCAGGCTCTGGGCCCCACCTCGTCCTCCCGACCGGGCAGGTTCTGGAAGCTGGATCTGAGGATGCAGCACTTGCTGGACAGAGACTGAGGGGGCTGCCCAGCACCCCCCAGATCCGGCTCCGGAGCCAGGTGTGGGCACAGGGGCCAGAGCCTCGGCTTGCCTTTGCCCCAGAAGCCAGACTCACAGACCCCTTCAGAGGAGCAGCAGCAGCCTGGGGGGCCCGGGGACACAGGGCCAAGGCTCCAGAGACACCCAGGTCTCTTTCTTCATCTCCTGCCTCAAGCCTGGCCAGGTGGTTACTCAGGGGGCACAGCAGCTCCAGCTGCAGCCTGGGCTGTGGCCCGCATCCCCGTGCCCCCTCAGGACCGGGGCTAACACAGGATAGGACATGTGGAGGACACAGCCACCCCTGTCCTCATGGCCACAGGAGGCAGCCCCCGGTCAGCCTGCCCCCACGTCCCCAGCCTCACTTACTAAGCCCTGCAATCCTCCAGCAGGAAGAGACCAACCCGCTGGGGGCTTGCGGGGGTGGGTGTCCTCCCAGAGGTGCTGGGTGCTCATCCTGGGCAAGGGGCCTGCCACCCAAGCTCTCCTTGAGTTCCCCACCAGTTGTGTTCTGGTCCCTGGACTCACCCACACTTGGGGTGGGAGGTGCGGGGGTGGGCGCCACCTGCCTGCCTAGCCCAGCAGGTGTGGGCATGCAGAAACCAACATCGCCGATCACTGGGGGGGGCTCTGCCTAGGGGGTGGCATCCTGAGGGGCAGATTCTGCATGCATTTGTGTCTGGAGCTAAGGCGGGGCATGGTATTCCAGGTGGGGACCCATGCCCCTAAGCCAGCCACACCCACAGCCCGGAGCTCCAGGCCTGAGGCAGCAGCTGCCTTCAGTAGGCTGGGGACCGGGCAGGGCCACCCAGGGTTCTGTGTCCTGGCCTAGGGTGGCCGGCAAAGCCCAGGGCTCCCCCAACTCCTCCTGCTCCCTCTGGGCCCCTCCACCAGGAGGGCCTTCCACCTGCTACCGTTCACCCCCAGAGCCTGCTCATCCCCAGGATAAAGGGCTGGAAGGCCCCTAAGGAAAGGGGATTCCTCTCCAGCAGCCCCTCAGGCCAAATGTATGGGTTCTGGGAGGTGTAGGCTCCCAAAGCAGCACCACCAGGGCCACAAGGCCAGTGCTCGGGGACAAGACAGGCACAGGCCAGGGCCTGCCCTCCCCACACCTCACAGCCACATGCCCGGGCCACACTGGGGGTCATGGCACCCCCACAGCACCCACACAGACTCGGAGGCCAGGGTCCATGTGCCATGGATGGGCCTGATGGGCACACCATGTGCCAGGCCTGACCAAGTCCACCCCAGCTGCCAGGTGTGTAAGCCCCTCTGAGCCAAGGCCTGCCCGGCCACCACAGCCTGAACTCCGGGAACATTCTTTCCACGTCCCTAGTTTTCGGGGAAACTGCTGGATAAACACTTTGCCGCAGCAGTGGTGGCAGTGGCAGGCGGTGGCTGGCAGGACGCCAGGCGGCACCGAGCTGTTTCTCCACAGCAAAGTAAGCCCCAGCAGGCCCGGGGAGCGGGTGCCAGCTGACAGCGGCAACCACGCGGTCCCCCGCCGCCGACACATCCATCGCACGCCGACAGCTGCCGGGCGTCCATCTACCTTCTCCGGCACATTGAGCACAGCCCTGCTGCGCGGCTCACCCGTCGAGGCCACACACAGCCCACCCGTCGCTTCCTGCCAGGCAGCGGGCAGGCAGCATGGGTCATCTCGAATGGCGCAGCCTGTCCCCCTTATCACCAGGAGGGTGCTAGGCCACGGACTGGTGGAGAGAGCCCTCAAACCCCGTGAATGAGCGCCAGGGTGGGGGTGGAGGGAGGCCAGCCAGACCCAGCTCGGGCAGAGCCCCAGCTCTGTGAGGTGAAATACGCCAACCTGTTCCTCCAGGGGTGAGCCCTTCACCTCAAGGACCTCACAGGGGTGGGGCACAAATGGCCCATCTGGACGAGGAGAGGAGAGGTGCCCATTCCCGGGCCAGCAGGTGACACTCCATCAGGACTGCCTGGGCCTTCCCTGGCCCACGCTCCCAGAAAACCCACCTGGCAGGCAGGGAGGGCATGGACCAGTATGTCCACCAGTTCCCTGGGGAAAGTAAAGCTCAGATAAGAGGGCCCTCAAGGTCACAGAGGTTCACATCATGACCGGAGACCCAGATCCTATTGCCTAGGCTGAGTTCATTGCTTGACACGAACTGTGAGCTCTTCCCAGGCCTTTGGTTCTGCCAGTAAGCAGGCCTCAGCCTAATGCACACATG